TAATCACAACCTTAAAGTTTTTTTTTGTTTCTGTGATCTCATGTGTAGAAAATTGTCATTCGTATTGATTGCAAACAAATAATTATTTTTTACAAGTAATTACAGAACCCAGTCACTTAGGTATGCTTTCTATATATTATTACATATTAAGAATAGAATTTTGCTAGGGAAAGTTTATAAAGTAATGTAAAAATTATTCATTATTATATATATATATATATATATATATATATGTATATGTATATATACACACATATATAGTTTCAACTTTAAATTTATTAATATACTATTGTATTTTTTGATATAAAGAAAGGTTTCATTCTTGGTATAAAGGAAGATTTTGTTTTTGGTACAAAGAAAAGTTTTGTTTTTGGCACAAAAGAAAGATTCTGAAATATTCGGAAATTTAAAAACAATTTCGGCTAACATCCTTAGAAACCACCCGAAACTAGTTTAGGTTAGTAGTTTATGTTTAGGTTTAGTTTTCTGCTTAGTGTAAGTTCATTTTCCAAAATGTTTCGGGAGGCCAAAAGAGTTTCTAGTCACAACACTGTGGATGATGCAATTGTTTTTTATATCAAATATGACATCAAACATATTGCATAATAATCATGACCATCATGAATATTTGTTGGGATGGAGGCTTTCATATACAAGGAAATGATTAAATAGCTAAGTCATGTTTTTTTTTATCTATATAATTAATTATATTTAAAAATTATTATTTTATTTCATCTTTATTTCAATAATTCTGAAATTGTTTGTTTCATAGTGTTAATGATTGAATCAATCACACAAGTGATTGTCAGTTTAGATGGCTTTTTTTAAAAAAGGTTTAGTTGAATTAATGTTGTTAAATGGATTTTTTATTTATAATAATAATTTTAATATTTTTTTTGATACATCAACCTCTATCATATTTATAGATTTTAAAATTCCTTTTTTGATTAAAAAAAAAAAATTTCAAACATTTGTTTATTTGTTTTAGTACATTTCAATTAGATTTATTAGATCAATGATACATTCAGCAAAAATCTCAGAAGACTACATTGTGCATTAATTCTAAGATAAAAAAGTCTGTTTTAATGTTTTAGTATAATCAACAATTTTCTTCAATTGTTTTTTTTAGATATATCAATAATTCTCTACAAGTATTGTGGTAGAATTATGAGAAACAGAATATATTGTTTTTGTGATTTAAGGAAAAATGAACCAGTCAAAACCCCAACCATAACAGAAATAATGGCACAGAGTTATGTTGGCAGATTGGAACAGCAAAATAAAGACTTAAAACAGCAACTATCCAGTGCTAAGGAAGAAATCAGTACTCATTTGGAAGCCTTAGAAGTTTCAAAGGATTGACATAATAAGCAAAGGCAAGAATTATTAGATAAAATTAAAAGACTTGAAAGTGAGGTTGAATGATTAATGAAACAACAGAACCAACAAGTTGCTCAAATTGAAGTTAAAGAAACAAAGAGATGATCTTGATTGAAAATAAGAAAGTAGTTTAAAGAAATTCTGTATAAATTGAAATTCATATTTCAACTATCAAAGAAAATGGTAGTTATTTTCCTTTTAAAGATTTTGCTTTTTATTAGGTAATAATGCATCATCATGATGCTTTCTTTTTTTAATGTTTATTATTTTTCTTTCCTCTTGATAAATTTCATAAGTAATCCTTTCTTTGTCTAAATATGTTTGCAAAGATTTGGTATCTGCTAATTTAAAAATGTAAGGAGCAATTTTTTCCCCTTGTTCTTTCTTCAAAATACTTCTGATAGTACTATAATTCTTGGGTTCCATAGTAGATCTGATGTAAATGAGTTTCATATTAACTATTTTATAAAGGACAGTTCTATATATCACTTAACAAATGGGGCATTATAAACTAATTGTGATGATAATAACTAAATTTTGATCCCTGAAATTTTTGGTAATACCAATGTTCACTTTGTCTGGTTTTGTTGCAGCATGCCCCATATATTATTAATATAAATATTTTTTTTTAATTTGTATATATCACCATTAAAGGTCACGTGATATAAAATTTTATTGCATTTTTGAGCATAACTTACAATTCTGAGTTTTGATGATTTTTCCCAAAATTGGCCACGAGGCGCAGCAAGTTGCGGGACTAGGTGACTTGCACCTTATTATTATCATTTTTATGGTCCTACAAACTTTCTGCGCCACTACACCAATTTTGAGAAAAATTTCCCAATCAAAAATGCAATAAAAATTTTTTGGTCACATTTCCTGATCATTCCATAAATAGTATTTGTTACTACAGTGCGGATCATCTATACTCAAAAATTTTTGAAATATTATGTGATCCACACTATACATGCAGCCCAAATTGGTTTGGTGATTTTGATGGTCAAAATTATTCCAATTTTGATGGTAGAAAGTAGAA